TTGGGATATTTACTGTTAATCTCTCCCCAAAATTTATAGCAAGTTCTTTGCCAAGGTTCACTTTCTGCCCATAATTTGTCATTTTTTTCTTTAGTTAAAGGTACTACAATTTCTGCTGCATCTATTCATGCTAATTGACAAAGTCTGAATTTTCCTTTTAAAATTAAGAGATATTTTCCACATAAATTTTTGATTTTTTACCCATTTGCTTAGTAGAAATATTCATTCCAGTATATTATCTTCCCTCTTCACTAAAATTCCTGTAGGATAATGCTAAGACTGTGAAATAACCAAAATTGATCAAGCTTTGGATCTACACGATATACATCTCCTTCCTGTACTATCTATTAAAACAAGGCTAATTCTCACAGCTTCCCCTGAAAATTCTCTTGGAGTATAAAAATTCTTAACACCTTCTAAGGTTTTGAACAAATTACTCAGTTCATCATTTTTTTACCCCCAAAATAGTTTGTGGAAGGGAAATTTTTCCAAATAAACTTTGAAATTAATTAATAGTCTATAGTAGATCTCTCCTAATTTGCACCTATTGGGGTCTAATTTTTTGTAGACCTGTGTTATATTCTAAATACTTAATAGAATCTCCTTTTTGTATATTTTCATGAACAATTTTCAATACCCAGTAAGGCAAAATTTTATTTACTTCTTCAAACATTTGTTCTAAATTATCTGCATTTGAATCAGCTAGTAAAATATTGTCCATGTAAAGATAACTTATAGATTTGAGAAATTTTGTATGTATTACTTCCAATGGCTGTTGTACAAAATATTGGCACAGGGTTGGGCTATTCTACATTCCTTGTGGGATAACCCTCCATTGATATCTCGGAACCATCTGAGAATTATTATAACTAGGGACCATGAAGACAAATTTTCTCTGTCCTTTTCTTGTAAGGGTATTGTAAAGAAACAGTCTTTTAAATCAATACCTATAATAGGCTAGGTAACAGAGTAAGCAAAAGAATTCCAGATTGTAGAGATCCCATTGGCTGAATTACTTTGTTAATTGCTCTAAGGTCTGTTACCATTCTCCATTTACCAGATATCTTTATAATACCACATACAGGAGAATGCCAAAGGCTGTTTTATTCTTTGATATGCTGAGATTCAACTGTTCTTGTACCAGGTTTTCTAAAGCCTGCAGTTTCTCTGTTGTGAAAGGCCATTGCTAAACCCATACATCTTATCTGTTAACCATTTTAAAGACAGACCTGTTGGGGTCTATGAAAGATCAACAGTTGTTGAGTCCTGTACTTGTACAATCTGGATGACCAGTGATCTCTCTTTGTAATAATAGCTCCTAATATTTCTCTCAGAAACATTTGTTAGTTTGTGGTTTGCTTCTGAGGTTGGAGGAATGTTAATCTGAGTATTCCAATGTTGTAATAGATCATGTCCCAATAAATTCATAGGTATATAAGCCACATATGCCTGTAATTTTCTTCTATGTTCTTTTGGACCTATACATTCTAGCCATCTAGAGTTCTGTTTCACTTGAGATAATGTTCCAGTCTCTAACAGGTGAACATTTGCCTCGTGAAGAGGGAAATTTGGATGACAAAATTCTGGTGCAATTAGTGTAACATCCACACCTGTGTTTAACAAATCTTCCAAGAGAATGACATTTTCCATATTTTTAATTTGGTATTTGTTCATTTATAGAATTTTGTGAAAAAAAATTGCTTTATGGTTTCTCCTGAAATTTCTGTTCTCTGCTACAGCTGTTCTGTTATTCTGAGCACCCTGGTTTATTCCAATAGGCATTTGGTTATTTAATTGCTCTGAGAAGAGGTTTCTTCTATGTTGACAGGAAAAGTCTGAATTTAATTTGCTGTGGGTACCTTCATGAGACCTCTCTGGGAGTTCCCAAGGGCAGACGAAAAGGATTACCTTGTCTGTTCATTGTTGATCTACATTTGTTTGTCCAATGTTTATTCTTAACACACTTTCTCCATAATCCAGAATGGAGGGCCTTCTGTTGCTGCTGTTCCTTGAATTAACATTCTTTATAGGAAAACCTTGTTTACACTCCCTTTTAAAATTACTTTCTTTCTTAAAGCCAAAACAGCTCACATTATATTTCCTCAATGATAATACCACTGAGATGATAAACACCACCAAAAGATAAGCTTTGGACTATAAAGTGCTCAGGACAACTTCAAGTTGGCTAGCTGAGATGATCCAGCTTGAGAGTCTACTTTAACATGGACTTGAGAAATAAAATTTTATTATTTTAGACAAAAAAAATGGAAATGTGGTTATACCTTGTACACCCCAATAAAACTTATCTGGGGATCAGAGGACAGAGCCAGGCACTAGATTATGAATATAGACTAGACAGTGATAACACACACCCTTCACTATCACTCAGGATACATAGATCGGTCTGGTTTTCTGTGAGTTTAAGGCCACACTGGGAACAGAGTCAGATGTGGTGGAACATGTATTTAATCCCAACACTTGAAATCTCATGCCTTTGCTTGGGAAGTATACATGACTTTAATCCCAGGAAGTAAGATGCCAGGGAAGAAAAAGAATATATAAGGCCTGAGTAAAGAAGAAGTCTCTCTCTTGAAGCTGAGGATTTTGTACAAGTAAGAACATGGCTGTCTTGTTCTGTTTCTCTGATCTTTCAACTTTTTCCTCAATATTTAGCTCTCTGTTTTTTATTAATAATACCATTTAGTAATTTTTGTTACACACCTGTTGACTGGCTTTTCAACAATGAAAATTTACATACAGATTATAAGTTGCAGCAATGATAACATATCCAAAATATTTTTTTTGAGACAGGTTTTCTCTGTGTAGCTTTGTGCCTTTCCTGGAACTCACTTTGAAAACCAAGCTAGGCTCAAACTCACAGAGATCTGTGTGGCTCTGCCTCCCGAGTGCTGGGATTAAAGGCGTGCACCACCATTGACCGGCTAAATTTTCATCTCATTGTGTAAATTTAAGAAAATTTAAAATTTTCATCTCATTGTGTAAATTTAAGAAATTCATGTATGCTTCAAGGAATAACATCTTGGATCTATCTGTCACAACTCATACTCTAGATAAGTACTTCTGTCAATCAACAGCAGAATTTTCCCTACTTACCTACTATCAATTCCTAACATTGGGATCTATTTATCTAACTATCTACCTCTGATACGCTTAGTCTTTAAACTACTTGCATACCCTGTAGATCTGGAAATTTCAAGCATATACGCAGGAAAAAGTTTTCCACTATGCTCATTAGCTTTATTTTTTTCCTCCAGTCTATATCTCTCCCACCAGACTTCTAATTATTTAAAAACTTTAAACTGCTCCAAATTAAAAACAGCTACCCCTACACTTGCTGTAAACCATATAAACTTGACATTTCTGATGGAATTCCAAAGTGGACTTAGCCTCTGGCTTTAACCAGAATGTTCATACTGCTCTAAAGCTCTCTGTATTTTGCCTCCTCCATGTTGTCCCTGTAAACCTGGATATCAAAACAGATGTCTCCAAACTTAACTCAACTCCTTCCTTCCAATCTTTCATAAGCACTCCAAACATACAAGGTCCTGACAACAAAATCATAATTTCAGCCAAGAAGCAGTTACAGAACTGACTACATAGGCCTTCATCACCAAAAAACAGTCTGAAATGTCAGGGGCAAAAAAAATTCTTAGGACAAATGGCTAAATTGGTGCCTGTTAGCATAAGAAAGTGCATGCTGGCCTCCATGCTCTCATGGCAAAAACTGTTACAGAGTTCACACAAGTATTCAGTATCCTGGCTCCTCTCTGTTCTTCTCACCCCAGTCCCTATCCTGAATATATCCAGGTCATAGACTTCTATTCCCTAGCCTCTCATTTGTATATAAAACACTCAATTTGACAATGTCCACTATTTGCACTCTTGATCTTCTCGGCCACTCTCTCTCATCTTATTCTGTTTTAGTCTTGCTTTCTTGATCCCCACATAGTAGCCTGACCTATTCTGCTGGCCATGTTCTGTCTACTACTTTCTCTCTCTGCTCTGGACTCTTCTAGATGCCCCTAGGTTTATTCTCCATCATACCTAAAATAAATAACTTCCATGTAATCATAAAAAGGAAAGAAAATTAGGCAACATTTTCTCCATTCTGAATATCCATATTTAAATATAAGTGTGTCTATAGGACCCCCAGGCAGAGAGGTGCTGTGTGGGAGGAGAAAGTACTAACATGAGTGAATGTATGGCACTTGGCAGTAGAGGAACAATACTGAGAAAATGAAAATGATGTGCATGTATGAAACAGTTTTATAATGAAACCCATTATTGTATACACCCAGTAAAAATTACCAAAAAGAAGGAAAAATCTGAAATACAAATACACAATGGTGAACAGAAACGTAAGTTTTAAAGATCTTCTACCATAGACTAGTTATATTAGCTTTGAATGTCTATAAATACAATTTATTTATTTTTCATCCAAATGTCACAGACCAAAAATCATCTACAAATTTCTGTAGAGTGTTTTGCATTTCAGACATTACAAGGGTTGTTTTAAGTTGCAATTCTGTGAAGCACATTGGACTTACTTGTCTATGTATAGCAAACAAACATTTCATGACTCAAGACTACAATATTTAGGGCTGGAGCATTGATTCAGAGGTTAAGAGAACTGTACTACCCTTACAAAAAAGCTGAATTTAGTTCCTAGGATGAAAAGAAAGGAGCTTACAGCACACGTGATGTTAACTTCATGGGAACCAATGCATTCTTCTTATCCCTAAAGGTACTACATACAGAAATGTACATGCACAAACCAAACACATACACACACACACACACACACACACACACACACACATATATATATATATATATATATATATATATATATATATATATATATATATATAAAACAACCACCACTAGTATACTACTATGGCCACTAATACTACTGCTACTATTACTACTAATACATTTTAGAAAAAAACTACACAATTCAATAAACACCAGTGTTCATGTAAGATTATGAAGTTTTAAGGATTTATTTCCATGGAAACAGCCCTGGAGGGAAACCAGCCATTCTCTCCTGGAATACTTTATCAAAGGCTTCAGCTTGGGCTACTGTAAAGTGATTCTTCCAGTCCCCAGTTATGCCTAGAAAATGTGAAACAGACACATAGATTGGTAAATGTTGATTTTACATATGCTTTTATTCCTTTATTCACATGATTTTACCATCTGCTTAAGTAGGACTACACAGTCAATAAAGTAGAACTAACAGTTATTCTGTGGAGAACAATTCTTATGCTTTGAAAATATGCAAACAGACTTGTACCTCTGTGTAAATAATGTCAACCATCTCCTATACCAACATATCCACTAAACAATCTAACAGCATAGACACTGGATCTACATTTTTTAATGTCCAGATATTTCTCCTTCTCACTAGACATTCTTCAATCATTCTCAGCAAGATACAGCTTGCTGAGAGCAATCCAGGATGTCGGTTTTCAGTTAGTATGGAGTTTGGTGATGCATAAAGATGATTTCATCCACAGTCTTTACCACCATATCTTCGTTCTCATAACCACATTCTAGGAAGTCTTTAGATTTGGGCTTAGAGATCTCAAGTAGACCAATTTTTCCCATTGTATTATGTGTTCCTTCACCATGAAGTGCTGATGTGTTCCACATAGTGACTTCTTTTACTTTTGTATCATTATTTGTGTGACTTTAACCATCTCTTCCTATCTTCTTTCCATATATAATTCCACAGATCCCATCCTTTGTGTATTTTATTTCACAGCTGTGTCACTTTATGCATTTCCTTTTTGTAAACATGGTTGAAATATGCATCTAATATATTTGAGAAGTAAAATATTTTTTAAATTCCCTAAGGCTTCATACACATACTCTTTTACCTCTGCCCAATATTGATTCATTACAGGAAATCCAAGAATGGGCAATTTCTTCTCTTACTTTAGGTTCTCAGTTGTAGTACAGAGAACTCTATGTCCACAGAACCTGGAGCACATGAGTTTGAGGTTATGGGTCAATGGCAGTGGATCCTCCCATAGGCCTCAGTCCTTAGTGTATAGATGACCATTTTCTTGAGTTGACATTTTTGTGTGCCCAAATCTGAGTATAATTTCCTCTTGTGAGGACACCAGGATTACTGAATTAAATGCAACCACTAATGACTTTAACTTAATTATCTCTATGTATATTCTTGATGTCTTACAGTTTTATGACCTGATCCTCACACTGTATGTTGGAGAGGGAATGAAGTTTAAGGCTGAAGCATGTAAAAAATGGAAGAGGAAAATTAAACCCATAACTCTCCACTTATGCATTTGTACCCGGGTTTTTTAGTCATCCCCAAATACCTCACATCTAACTCATTCCTTCATCAAACTTGAGTCTCACCTCACCAATCATTCACTAATTCAATGTGTGTAGTCTGGCTGTCACTCCTGAACTGCACTGATCTGAAACCACACCCACAATTTGTTCCTAGTGTAAAGTGGTGGCACAGACATAGAGAAGATGGATATTCCTATTCCAGGAGAGACAATTCAGAACAAAGCCAGTAACTATGATTGTGAAGCAATCGAAATTTGGCTTGGCAAATGCCATCATATGTTAACCCTGGAGGACAATTTTCTTAATCCTTGTAAGGTCTGCCCTTTGCCTGTGGTGGATCAGCAGTTTTGACCTGTTGGACATCTATTTCAGCAGTGAAGGGAAGTGCATTTTGTGCTTATCATGCAATACACACACACACACACACACACACACACACACACACACACACACACACACACATATATATATATAATATAATTAAATATTTTTCATTAAATATTTTTGAGAAGTAAAATATTTTTTAAATTCCCTAAGGCTTCATACACATACTCTTTCATCTCTGCCCAAATTTGATTCATTACAGGAAATCCAAGAATGGGCAATTTCTTTTCTTACTTGAGGTTCTCAGTTGTAGTACAAAGAACTCTATATCCTTTTCATAAATATTTTCTTTTCAGTTTAGGGCTATGCTACTGGAAGCCTAACCAAGCCTCACAAAAACATGTCTACTTTCTCATTTATCATTGGGGATATTGGACACAACACTCTAAAATCCCAAGATCACCCCCCCCAAAATAAATATTTTCAGTTTCTGAGGTCCATGCCATCACCATGGAAAGATCCCCCTGGAAAGTCTGTGAAAAACTGTGAGTAATGAGCAGTGACTGCTGACATATTCCCAATATTTTTTAGAGTCTCATATGAAAAACAAACCCACCACAGATTCTGACATATTTTGAAACTAAAGAGTTTCTTCACCTCTTCTCATGAGGACCAAACCATTAGTAACCACATCTTCTGGGACAAGACTAAAATTAGACATTTTGTTTTCTTTCATGGCTTGGAACGAGCTGTACTTGAGGACCAGATCTAGCTCATCTGGCTCCAATTTCTTTCCTAGGAAGTCACAGATCTTCTCTATGGTTCCCCTTGTATTCTAAAAGAAGAAAGAAAACAAAATGAGGTTAATAATTAGAGAGCTTAGGAAGAACAGATGCCGAGAAGGTAACTACAGATGGACGATGGAAAGAAACATGAAGGAAAAAATGGCACCACAAAATGAGAAAGTATAGAATGGGTTTTAGCAAACAAACAGGCCTTGTATGGAGGGCAAAAGTCACACACAACATTTGTATATTTAGTGGGTTGGATTGTGACTGATCACTGGCCCCTTAAATACAGAGGCTGGGATTTCTTTTATGGGGGAGTTGATATTAGATGGGTCTCATATAACTTAGACTGTCCTCAAATTTACATTGTACTGAATGAGGACCTTAAACTTCTGATCATTTTGTCTTCATCTGTGTATTGTTATATTCATAGGTGTATGCCTACCCACCTCCTAACTACAATGGGATATTTTGTCTGGAGACAGAGTGTGCTATGTCCTATAGAGGGGGGAGTCCTATGTAGTGTGATGTAAATTGCTGTGGAGACCAGAGGACCTCACACAGTAATACACATTTCCTCTTAAGAGCTAGCATTAAAGTTTTGCACCACCATACCCAACCTTCCCTGTGATGTTTAAAGATACTTATAGAAATACTTCTAGAAGGCATTCAAGGTGAATGAAGGACATATGCACAAATAATTGAATGGAGGTTCATGTATATGCCAAATGATACCTTTTCCTATGGATAAATGAGAATAAGACAGTTTTAAAATACTTTCATAAAAATGTTTTCAATAGTTTTTAGTAAGGGTTACAGCCAAACTTTAATTTTGTTTTGAATTTTGCTTTCATGCTGTTTCTTAGATGGGCATCAAATCCACAATCTGTTTACCTCAGACCCCTGGACTGGCATTGTAACTGTGCACTGCCACAGCTGGCTCACTTCTAGGGTTGAACATAAGAAAACAAAGTTTTGGAATAAAGATGACTTTGCTTAGAATTCAAGCCCTACACATGGGCTCATAAAGGTTCTTTTAGCTCTAAACTTGTATCACAGATTCAGGTAACTTTTAATTGAAAGTAAACAACTATGCCAATAACTGGAAAGAATGTGTTGAATGGTTGGAAGGGAGACTTATGGGAAACTGAATACACATAGGGCAGAGGTGAGTAATGAAGCTACCTGGGGAAAATTGAATATATAATGAAAAATTAAATTATTTTTTAAAAGGCAAGGAATCTGATGGATGGCTTTGCTTCTTACATGGAAACTTTCTATCCCTGGAAAATAAAATTAAGAGAGCAAATTATTTTTGGAATAATT